CTAATTATTTTAAATCAACACAATCCAACACTTTTATTTTTTACTTTAATTTAACTCTTTAAAGTATTCTGTTTTAAAATATTAAAATAAAAATAATTAAATTAATTTTATAATACAAATTAATAGGGCAGAGAATCCAGCGAAGGCCCAATTCTTTACGAGAAAGGAAGACGGAAGACAAATTCTCCCCCTAAAAAATATCCATAAAAATCCCATAAACAAAAATAGAGAGGCACTCCCTCACCCATGGGGCTTTGCCATCCCTACTACAGAGTTGTGGCCACAGGACCTCAAGGTGGGCTGGTTGGCAGCTTTTATGACCTTTACTAGTATCTCCTTATTATTAACGAAATCTTCATTTACCCAAAAAAAAAAAGAAACCTTCTGGCCTATTCGAATGAGGGGAGGAAAAGGTCTAACTCAAGGCTAAATCTAAAAATAAATATACTTCCATGGCCCAAGAACTCTTATTGAGGCTCTATTATTCTTAAATCCAATACTAATGAGCCCACTTGTAGGCTAATCCAACTATCCTGCAGAAATTAGGCCCACCACATGAAGATTAAGTCCTCTCTTCCTTACGGAAAATTACTCTTGTTAAATTAGAAAATTTATAAAAAAATTATATAATCGCACAATAATGTAAGTTTAAAAAACTTTTATATCGATTTTTAATCACATATTTTAAAACTTAAAGTGTTGTTTTGGAAATTTAAATATAGCATTAATTGTTAAAATTTTAAAATAAATAATTGAAATTTAGTATAACACTATTAATGTAAATTAATTTCAACTATCTTACATAATTGAATTTCTCAATAATTAAATATTAATTCATATAGCCAATTACCTTATAGAGCAAGTGGCTAAACCACCTGCTTTTCTTATGGTTCGCATTGAGATTCTTAGTTTGAAGCCTCTCATTTCCCTCATCCCCTTAGTCCAAATACTAAAAATAAAGAATAAAGAATAATCACCTTTTTCTTAATCGATCAAAAACAAATTGCGTTTTTCTTAATGAAAATGGAATGTTTATCTATTCTACTTACATACCACATAATTTATAAACTCAAAATATTTAAAAAGAACCATACTTCTAGGAAAGAGACTGTATTTGATAAGAAACAAAATCGAAATCTTGAAGACGGTCCCTAAAGACTATTAAGATTTTACGATCATAATTATATTCTCACCACAAGGATAACGACCCAACAGAAAACATGGGCTTCGGGGGCATTCCCTGTGTGATGCTGGATGCTTACCATATCCTTGTCTGGATTCAGGACCGGAAACTGAATAATGTTATTAATCATAAAGGCATAGTCCTTGGGACTGACATTGATGGTCCTGTCCCGGTGCTACAAGAGCCGTGGGGAAATTTAATTTCCCCACCTTAAGTGGAACAGTATTTGATAAAGTGCAGTTAATTCATTTCTTATTTTTTACATTTATATTTTTTATATTAATTTTTTGTATCCAATAATCACATTAGGTCTAAACTTATTCAGAATTGAATTACGTCGAATCTCATATGGGGTAAAACTTTCTCAACATTTGTTTTTCTATTCACAAGATTCAAATTTAAAATATTATTTAAAATGAATCGAATTCCTTTCATTCGAATTAACAGATCGTTGGTATTTTTTATATTTATAATTAAGATATTTTTAGTTTAATTTTTATATATTTTAAAATTAATTTTTTTAAACAATTTTAAAAACGTATTTTTTTTTATGTAATTTATTAAAAAATTAATTTTCTTTTGTACTAATCGACATATTGAATTCGATTAAGCTGCAACGACTGGCAGAAGGAAAAGCTCACCGGCCCTAAGATTAGCATTTGCTAGCTTTAGATGTCACAGTGGCCACTTGGGAATTGGTCAGCTGGTCCCCTATAATCTTTATAGATGTGTGGAAAATAACAGAAAAGGCGTACTGATACCGATACGTGTCGAGTGTGGAATAATCAAGAAAGCTGGGGACCTATATATATCATCTCCTTCCCTGCTTTGAAATGTTTGCAGTTTATGATAATCTGTTGGTCTATTGAAGCACGACAAGGCAAGCCCAGAAAGTTCTCCCCTAGTGGGGATGCTAGTGTGGGGATAGATGCCAATGCTCGAAGCGATTAAGCTTCGTGCAAGTTTGTACGGTGGACTATGACAGATACCAGACAAGGAATTCAAGGCCCCAAAAGTGGCTATGGTTATGGTTATAATTTAATTTGTTAAAATTAATAATAATGAAAAATTTTTTAATTTAATTTAATTATTAAAAATATTTAATAATTACTAAAATAATTAATATTTGTTATATAATAAGTTAAAATTAATTTATAAAGAAATATTTTTAAATTCATATAAATTATTTTAAAAAATTAAAAACTAACAAAATTATAAATAAATTAGTGATTATAATAATTTATACGATGGCAATAACCTGACCCCCAAAGTGACTTTTCAGCAGCCCAAAAAGAACAATAATAATAATAAATAAATAAATATTCTCTTGCTCGTACCTTTAATAGCGACATAAACGGATCCAACGTCGATTGATACAACCCCACTGGCAGAAGACAGGAAAACAATACTTCAAGACGGGCCTGAGGCTTTCAGAAGCAGATCATGGGCTAGTTGGCAGACGCGAAAAGCGGATTATTCAAGATTCATAGCAAGGAGAAATGATAAATCGGCTGTGAAATTTTGAGTTTGTTTTCTTATGACCGTTCCCACATTATTTATCTGCATATATGAAATCCTATAAAAAAATGTCTCACCTAAAAGCTCGTTTAAACGTAGAAATCGAGAGAAAAAATTGCAAGAATGCTTAATTTGACATTGAACGTACATGAAACCATTTTTAGTAGCTTCTCCCGTTCCACCGGAGACTTTAATTTACATCACAAACTGAACCAGTAACTTGAAAATCCTTCATCTACCGTTCATGTAAGCATTGATAGAGGTGATCTTCGTTTCGAGAGCAAGTGTGCACGGTTGCCCTGAGTCTGGCCAGTATTCCTCCACGATGGCATGCCTAATGATATATAGATATATAATTGGATTAATTAGATCATGCATCAACTTAAGAAAGCAAGAAGAAAAATTTTAGGTAAAAGAGAGAAAGATAACCCGATTCCTTTGGTTCCACCGGTGACTAGAGTAGTCATTCCTTGAAGACTCCATCTACCACTATTTCCTTGAGCCATTATCTCCTCCAATGTTTGCTTTAATTGCTCAAGAGGACTAAATTGATAAGATACATAGTTTCTCGTGCTTTTAATTTCCCAGGAAAGGACACTCGTTACCTCTTCGCTAACCTTAATTATTCTTAATTTCTTTTTTCTTTTTTAGGGCAATCTACCTTATTAATAAGAAAAGGCAAATATTACAAAAAATATAAAATCTATCGATGTAGAACACCAAATGTACTATAGACTTATTAAGTAATGTAAAAATTACATAGATATTATAGTTGAACCTAATT